ATCCCAAACACAAATTCTCCTTCCCCAACTCCTTGAGGTAACTCCTCAACGTCTTCCTCCCCCTGTTGTACTTCTTTTCCATTTGTCTTCATAAAAGAGCAGGCCTCCCAGAGATAACAAGCAAACAGAACAAAATAAGATAAAATAAGACAAGGAAAAGCCCTCATAGAGAGGCTGTACAAGGCAACCCAAGAGGAGGAAGAGTTCTAAGAGCAGGTAAGACTTAGAGACAAACTCATTCTCACTGTGATCATTCCCACAAAAACACCAAGTGAACAGCCACAGCATAAATGCACACCCTTGCAAACCCTGTCCTTGCAGCTTCGGTCTCTGTGAGCACATATGAGCCCTGCTTACTTGATTCTACGGGCCATGTTCTCCTGGTGTTCCCATCCCTCCTGACCCCTAAACTTTTTCCTTCCCTTCTTCTGGGGATTTTCTGAGCTCCTACAAGGGAGACTGTGGGGAGTTTCTCCTCTGTCAGACTGCTTTGTTATTTAGCTCTCAGTGGAAAGCCATGTTTTCACCCTGGCCTTCACCTGGAGTCAGTGATAAGCAGGATGTTTTGCCAAGCCCACCTCCTTTTTTTTTTTTTTTTTTTTTTTGGAGACAGCAAGCAGGATGTCTTGTCAAGTTCACACCTTTTGTGTGTGTGAGGATCACACAGACAGGTGGTTGAGGTAAAGAAGTTTGACTTCTCTGTTAATTCATTCATTGTACTAAGGTGTTTTTGCTCTGACTTAAAAAGGGATTATTGGAATTAAGGGAGGCAACTAGTTTCTACTGGAGCCCTCTCAGAAAGATCCCATGTGTACTGTGTTGGTTTATTAATTTTCTTTCAGTCCTCACTCCCTGCTCAAGAACTGTTCGATTCTGCTGGCAGGCTCCAGCAAGGGACCCAATGGAGACCTCCAGTTTAGACTTTCTCTTAATATAATGTCTGGCTGTGTATTGTCCTATCTGCTGCTGGAAGAAGCCTCTTTGAAAACGACTGGACAAGGCATCAGCCTATGAGTTTAGCAGAATAAGGAATCATTCTGATGTATTTTTTGGTTTGGTTTTGTTTTTGTCCATCATGTTTGGTTCTGTCCTAGGTTTCTGGAATATCTAGTCTCTGATTTCTCACCATCCAGGCAGTGTAGGGCTTAGACTCCCTCTCATGGCCTGGACCTCAAGTTAATCAGACATTGATTAGCCACTCCCAGCATTCTGTGCCACCATTCCCCCAGCATATCTTGTATGCGGGATATATTCTAGACTGAGGGTTTTTGTGGCTGGGAGGCTGTACAGGGTTCTCTTTCCATACCTTACAGAGTCCCTTCACAAAGAGACTAGAACACAGGGTTGAAGGCTCCATACAGTAACCAGTTGGACATGTCTATTTTCAACAAGCTGTTTGGCCATTGTCCAAAGCAATGGGGCCTCACTGTCAGTTTTCAAAGAGTGACTCTCTGCCCTAGCATCAGCCTGGGTTGTTTAGTGATCTCCACAGAACCCTGCCCCACTACTGGAAGCCTTGCCTGGCTTCAAAAGATGATCAGTTCAGACTTCATAGTCTCTATTTCTAGGAGTCCTCACTGGGGTCATCCTCATAGACTCCAGGGAGTTTCCACTTTACGGGGTACTGGGTTTCTACAGTGCTCCCTAAATGCTCCCAGTTCCTGTACTATATGGCTAGTATCCACCTGTGAGTATGCACCATGTGTGTCTTTCTGCTTCTGGGGTACCTCACTCAGGATGAGCTTTTCTAGTTCCATCCATTTGCCTGCAAATTTCATGATTTCCTTGTTTTTAATTGCTGAGTATTCCATTGTGTAAATGTACCGCAATTTCTGTATCCATTCTTCAGCTGAGTGACATCTAGGTTGTTTCTAGATTCTGGATACTAGGAATAAAGCTTCTATGAATATGGTTGATCAAATGGCCTTGTTGTATACTTGAGCATATTTTGGATATATGCCCGGGATTGGTATGGCTTTAGGTAGCACTATTCGTAATTGTGTGAGAAAGCGCCAGCTTGATTTCCAAAGTGGCTGTACAAGTTTACATTCCCACCAAAATGGAGGAGGGTTCCCCTTTCTTCACATCCTCTCCAGCATGTATTGTCACTTGAGTTTTTTATCTTAGCCATTCTAATATGTGTGAGATGAAATCTGTTCCATTTTGATTTGCATTTCCCTGATGACAAAGGATGTCAAATATTTAAGTGTCTCTGCCATTTTGATATTCTTCTGTTACAAATTCTGTTTAGCTCTGTACCCCATTTTTTTTTTAGATTTTATTTATTTATACATATGAGTGTTCTATTTGCATGTGTGCCTGTATGACAGAAAAGGGCATCAAATCCCATTATAGATGGTTGTGAGCCACCATGTTGTTTCTGGGAATTGAACTTAGAACCTCTGGAAGAGCAGCCAGTGCTCTTAACCACTGAGCCATCTCTCCAGCCCCTGTATGCCATTTTTAATTGTATTATTTGGTTTGTTGGTGTTTAATTTCTTGAGGTCTTTATATATTCTGGATATTAGCCCTCTTTCAGATGTAGAGCTGGTGAAGATCCTTTCCCAGTCTATAGGCTATCATTTTGTTCTAATGACTGTGTCCTTTGCTTTACAGAATCTTTTCAGTTTCATGAGGTCCCATTTATTGATTGTTGATCTTAAAGCTTGAGCTCTTAATGTTCTGTCCAGGAAGTTGTCTCCTGTGCCAATGCCTCAAGGCTCTTCCCCACTTTTTCTTCTAACAGATTTATTGTGTTTTGCTTTGTGTTGAGGTCTTTGATCCACTTGGACTTTAACTTTGTTCAGGGTAATAAATATGGATCTATTTGCATTTTTCTATGTGTAGACATTTGGTTAGACCAGCACCATTTGTTGAAGATGCTGTCTTTTTCTCCATTGTACTGTCTTGGCTTCTTTTCAAAATCAAGTGCCGGTAGGTATATGGGTTTCTTTCTGGGTCTTCGATTTGATTCCATTGATCCACCAGTCTGTTTCTATGCCAGTACAATATAGTTTTTATTACTGTTGCTCTGTAGCACAGCTTGAGATCAGGGATGGAGATACCTCCAGAAGATCTTTTATTGTAAATGATTACCTTAGCTATTCTGGGTTTTTTGTTTTTCCATATGAAGTTGAGAATTGTTCTTTCAATGTCTATAAAGACTTGTGTTGGTATTTTGTTGGGAATTGCATTGAATTGGTAGGTTGCTTTTGGTAAGGTGGCCATTTTTACTATGTTAATACTACTGATCCACGAGCATGGGAGATAAAGACGTGAAGTTCTTGTCATACAGGTCTTTCACTTGCTAAGTTAGATTTACACAAAGATATTTTATATTGTTCATAAACATTGTGAAGAGTGTTGTTTTCCAAATTTCTTTCTCAGCCTGTTTATGGCTTGTATACAGGATGGTAACTAATTTTTTGAGTTAATTTTGTATCTAGCCAATTTCCTGCCTGTGATATCTAGCCCTGGGCTGAGGGTAGCACTGCCTTAAGGGATCTTAAAGTTTTTACCAGATGTGCCTGAAAGATTCTTCAGCCCCTCACTATCATTGAGACTTTTGTTGTTGCTATTAAATAGCACTCTTCATAATTTTTGAAGTGCTTTCAGAGTATATCTACTTTTTGCCCTTTTAGAAACAAGCAAATAAATATGAAATCTTAATTTCTGGCATGAGGAGCTACTGAATAATAGTAACATTTTTCACATAAATTGAGTCATTTGTTATGGGGAGGCTGTGTACATTTTAGGGAAATTTAAATGCTATGCCTTATTACAGAATTGTATGTGCAATTTCTGTGATTATATGATATGTATGATACAGTTGATTAAATCTGATAATTAGGTTTTAATAACATAACAGATACAAAACTTTTGCCTTAAAATATGAGAGCTAAAAGCCAAAGGATGTAGTTCAGTGTACAGCCTGTATGAGGCAGTCAGTCAATCAATAAATAAATAAGGAGGGGAAGAAAGTTTTTATATTTATTTTTATTAAAATAAGAGCAAAAAATGTATATAAAACATGACAAGATGTTATTTAATCAAACTGTAACAATACAATCCCTACATTATGTTCCTTTTATTCATTTCTCTTGTTTCCCCCTTAGTCTTCCTTCCATTTTACAGAACGACATAGAGAAAAACAAGGCTTCATGTGCTTACAACAAATGAGGGAAAGGAAGGCAGGGTTTTAGAGCACCAGGGTCAGCCATTAAGGACCCATCCAGGTCCAGGGAGGCCTTGGTACTGGGCAGCAAGTATTGATACAGGTCTGCCTTGACCCTGAAGGAGCATGTGGTCCTGGCACTCAGGGTGCCCTATGAATACAATGGCATGGGGACTTTAGAGACACAGTAGTTGTTCTGGACAAGTCAACACAGCCAGCTCTGAGCCTCCAACCAAGTGATGAGAATAACGGCAGGATGGGACACTGGACAGCCGGGCTTCCACAAAGGGGTTCATCGATTTCTCCAATAAACACCCATAATATCTACTAACACTTAGACACAGATCCAGAGCTGACCCAGGCTACTTTACCCAGTGGTGAAGAAATCTCAGATGCTGCCCTGGAAAAACAAGCCAGAAGAGAACCTGCTTGTCTGCAATGAAGCATTCACACATATGCACAAGTGGATGTGTGGGCAGAAGAGGAAAGGGCACCCGCCTGGGCCATGGATGACCACTGGAAGCTGCCAGACAGACCATAGGTGCCTGTGTACCAGGCAGAGGGGCAGACAACTAGAGAAAGAGGTGTGACAAGAACCAGTCCATTACCTCACCTGGCTGAGCAGACACGTGGCCAGGAGACAAGAGGCTCAATTCAACTCAAGGGACTGTGAGTGGTGGATGTCACTAAGAGAGGACACGGTCGTCCCAATGCAGGAAATAAGGCAAAGCTTTGAAATGAGAAGACAGAGATGCCAGTTCAAGATGAGGGGAAGACAGATGTGCAGCAGGAGGAAGAGCATCCTCGGAGAGGGCTGGGGTCTCTCTCAGTGCTTGAAGTGAGGCCACATCTTGATGATGTTGTACAGTGCCTGCCCAGGGGACAGAGTGTTGGATACATCGCTGTGACCCATTAGCAAGTAGTTGGGGGTTAGGTACCCCTTGACCATGGCACACTGGATCAAGTCCTGGGCTGCCTCCAAGGCAGCTGCATTGGGTGGGGAACCTTCAAAGCAAAGCCAGACCATTGGTTGTAAGATCCCAGAGTGCCAAAAACAGGTCAGAACATGCCCCCAAACCCACCTAGCCTACCACTAAATAGCATATTTGACTGTTGGCAGCCATTCTATAGACAGACTGAATGCCAGATCAAGATTTTACATGTCTTAATTTCAAAGTCTTTCTGACTCTAAATTTCTGGTCCTGGAATTATACAGTTTTCTACTGTAGAAATTTGTTCTGACAGTTCTCCGTTAGGACTGCTTTAGTGCCCTAAGGAACATTTGGCAAAGCCTAAAGATATTCTTAGTTGATAAAAGTGGGAGAAGAAAGGACACTCTTATTGTCAAGTTGGGAGAAGGCAATGATTGATGATTGTGCTGACCAAACTTCAAAGAACAGATCTGTGACAATGGATTATCTCATCCAGAATGTCAGGAGCAGCAAGGCCTTTCCCCACAGAGTCAATGTTCAGTCTCTTCTCATCTGCCTTTAGCCCCATCTAAAGCTCGTCTTCAAAGCAGCCAGAGCAAGGAGCGGGGACAGTACCTCACCTTTCCAGATATTCAAAACAACAACACCCTTGCTCTAGTCAGAAGCTCTGAGTAAATGAGTACTTCCAGTGCAGTCAAGGCAAATCCCTAAATTCCTGCTTCGGTGCTCAAGCCTGAGAGGTCTAGAACTGTTCCCATGAGAACCAAACTAAGATAGGTTACAAAGAACTGAAATTATTCACAAAGACGTTTTCCTTTGCTTCACCCATTCATTGTGGCAGAAAGAGGGGAATGAGAGGAGAGGAGAGGAGAGAGAGTTAGAGAGAGGGAGAGAGAGAAAGGGAGATGGGGAGGGAGTGGGAGAGAGAGACGGAGGACAAGAGAGATTTGCCTGTGTTTTAAAAGGTTAACTTTAGAGTACCTATTCTTTCTGGAATCCGAGGGTCACCTCCAACCACACTCATCTTAGATAAATAGAAATACAAAGCTTCAGCATATGATACTTAAAATGATGTCTGAGCCTGATGTCTTTCCTGTCCAAATCACAGTCTCCTCAAACATCACACAAGGATTACAACTGCCCGAATCTTCCACTTACCTGTGAAGATGCCCATGAAGGTGATGCTCAAAGCAATGTCGTCATACCCATCAGTACAGGCGCCTTGACTGTTCCAGCCCACCCCTTCATAAACACCACCATCCTGGCCCACGAGGAAGCTGGAGAAGCACAGCAGACATTAGTGTGAAAGACAGGCACTCTGGGACTGATACCTTCCTTCATCAGTTCATTTATTTCCTTACTCAACTAAGCAACTTTCTGAACAAATAATACAGAGTTTTTGTGAGTGTTATGCTGGTGAAAACATCTGGAGGAATGGGGCTTTAGAGGGACCAGACTTACAGACTTACAGAATTCGCTGATCTCTGCAGGACTAGATTTGTCACAGCAGCTGTTGTTAGACTATAAATGACTTAGCAACAATGTTGGCTATTTGTGCTGACTCAAGCAGAAAGGAAAGGTCTCTGTGCTGTGGACTCCCTTTGTAAACTGGTTATACTTTGTAAACCCCCAAAGCAGGAAAGTGGCCAGATCCCTGCCTGAGGAGCTCCAGCAGCCAGGCCCCTTCCCCAGACCTCTCTAAATGTCATAACATTTCCAGCCTTTGTAACTGTCACAAAGCTCATCTCCAGCCCCTCCATAGATCCACTTCCAGATTAAGTTAATGTTAGGTGAAATGACTGAACAAGATCCCACAATCTCTGAATAGGAAAATCCACCAATCCTGAAGCTCCCCTAGGATCAGGACTTGAAATCCCACCAATCTTCACCCTGGAAATCTCTGCCCTAGAAAGCTCCACCCCCTAGGAAATCCTACATAGGCTGTGTCTGCTCTGTTCCTTGCTGTCCTCTCCCAGGAGCAGGCTCAGCAACCCTGGGCTCATCCCTCCAATAAATCTCTTTTATGAGATTAGCTACCTGGTGTGACTCTCTCATGGAAGAAGCCAAGAGGCAAGGAAGAGAAGGGAAGAAGTGGAGGGGGGGGCTGAGGCTCTGGCGCTCCTCCACTCAGCTGGGGATGCCCTCCCCTGGGAGCTGCAACATCTCTGCTGAGAAGTCAGAGCCCTGTGGTCCTCTCAGAACCCTGTGGTCCTGGGCTCCCATTCCTTAGAATGCCCTTCCACTGGGACACTGTCCCTTGTCAGAGATACGTGGTTCCTGGGCTCTAGTGTCCCAGGTTGCCTTTCCATTGGGATACCTTCTCTCTTCCGCTCTGTGGTTCTTGGACTTCTGAGTCCCAGGAAAGGCAGACAATCTGACCCCCTGATTCCCCAATATCTAACCATCATTTCCCATGAAATTGAACCTGTCAAGCCCCCTTCCTTCTCCAGACATCCTTTTCTCTTGATACCCACTGTGTGATAGTCCACTCAGCCTCTTGTCTGGCAGATCTGTGTCTGTGCCTCAGCCTTAAGTATGTGCTTCTTGGGGTGCTCCCCTATGCCTCCTCCTTCTTACACACTTTCTCGGAACTAGCCTATCCATTTCCATTCACCAGCCATTAAAGTGCACACCTCACAATTGGAGCAACCCCTTCCCCATGCCTCCTCTTCTCTGGGGTAGCATTGTAGAGAAAATCGCCATCCACTGGCTCCAAACCCAGGCCTCAGCCCACTCACTCCATCCGCTTGCCAGCCAAGGCTTATTGCTGGTATCTCCCAGACTTCCCTGACAAAGCCCTGCACCACAGTCATTTGACACTCACTTCCATGAACTCTGAAATGCCCCCACTTCTTCCCGTGACATCTGTACCCTCTTATCCCTGTCAGCACTCGCCTTGCCTAGACTGCCACAAGATTTCAAAGCCTGTCTGCCTTCTGGCTTGCACTCACTAATCTGTTTCCAAAGCATTATCCAAGACACTGTTCTCAAATACAAATCACATAAAATCCAGCTCTTAGTCCTTTGCATGGAACCCAGACTTTCCAGTCAAAGATGCATCATTCTTCAGGACATGGCTCTTTGCCTCCCAGCCTCACCTCTCATCACACCCAGTGATGGCATTTATGTGATCACAATCTCTCAGCTCCTCAAAGACACTATTCTTACCCTGGAATCCAAGTCTTTTGCTGCTCCCTTTCTAATTTGTCCCCAGTCCCTCCTTGGGTCTTAGCTAAGGAGTTACTCCTCTGAGGACAGAGTCCTTCACTCCTCTCCCTGCCTTCCTACTCCTCCTTCATAGGAGCACTTAATTCACCTGTTGAGGCTAACTGTGTAAAGTCTTTTTCTTCCTCATTGAGTGGCAGGAGGGGAGGGGTCACCTGTGCTCCCTCAGGAAACATCCCCAGGGCACAGCCTAGCACTGTCAGAAGCGAGTGTCTCCTGAGTTCAGAGCCTCCTATGAATGATGATAGGACACCCAACACAAATCGGAAGCCTAGAAGAGACTAAGTGGAGCCTGGGTAATAAAGGGAAATCTTTATCCTCAGTTGTAAAAATATTTCCAAATTCATATTTGATAGTCACATCTCCATTGCAGTTGGGGAGAACAACATTGGATTATCCCGAATGGCAGGACCTAACAGTCATTTGGGAGGTCCTGATGATGGTTAGAGGTAATATTTCCTCCCATCTTTAAGGAGCTTCAATAGAGTGGAGTCAGAGAAGAGAATCAGTCATCTTAGAAGAATATACCAAGTAACAAATGCAACAGAGAGGGCACATTGCACGCAGGGGTCTGCAGGAACAGTCAGGAGTAAAATACAGCTCCAGAAGCTAAGCCATGAATGGCCCTAGGTAGTGGCTCTTTCTATTAACACATAAACACACCATAGGAGTTAGTGATGGCTTGTATTTATGCTTAAAGCTCAGATGGATTGTTCATGATGGAAAATGAGCTGAGGTGTTTCTGTGTCTTGCCTGTGAGCTCTGGATACACGCTCCAGTGTTTCTGACTGTTTTGTGGAACATTTTGTTTCTATGTGGGTCAGTGTTAAGCTACTAACTTTTAACATAAGTATTCTTGACCAACAAAATTCAGTCATAGAATTCTGATATTCATTCTTCATTAAATGAGAATAAAGGAAAGGAGAGAAGGAAAAACAGAGGGAGAAGGGAGAGAACAGTGTAGGAGGAGAAAAGGGAAGGGGGGGGGAGAAAGACAGACCGAAAGATACAGGGGAAGGATGAGGAAAGAATTGCGGGAGGAGGAAAAGAATCTTCCCACTAGATAACATATTCTTTATTATGGAATCACAGACCTTGGTACTATGAAATTAATGGATGTTATCCAGTCTCTTGTTGTAGGAAAGACTCCCTCGGGATGTTCAGAGTTTTGGATCCAAAGGACCAGCACAATAACACCAGAAGGAGCAATCCAAGCAGAGAGCATCTCTTGAGCCAATGTAGTGAGAGGCAGTGAACCTGCGTTAATCTTCTCTCCAGGTCCCACAGTCTTGTACACTGTGCTGTCCTCTAATATATTTTCAGGAGCTTTGGTATCTATAATGTCTATAAATCACCTTTAATAGGTACGTATTCTGAGGACATGCTTGGGGCTGTGACTGCCCATTATCTGTCTCTTAAACAACAACATCCTGGATTCGGTAAGAAGCCAATATAAGTACCAATAAGTTTCTCATATGTTGAGTAATCAGTCAACATCTCCCTCGCCCCTCCTGTTGGGAGATTCAGATTCCCCCCTCCAAGGAGAAAAGACCCTGTCCTTGGGATCACTTACTTGTATCCAATGTCACACGTGTTTCGTCTGTCCATGAAGAAGGACTGGAGGTCTCGGACCAGCAGGCGGCACTCAGCAGGCTGACTGCACGTTCTCCCAGCAGTGTGAAGGATGATGGCGTACTTCGCAGGGAGAGCCATCTTGGGGCAGTGGGACTCTCTTGCCCCCCATGCAGACCGTGGAACAATGTGGGGGCAAGCTGTTACAGAGTAAAACAACAAAAACAAGAGACAAACATGAGGATTCATGATACCACTTCAGGCCATCCACCTGACACTAAAGCTTCTGGATATTGAGATTTCCCAACTCCCTTCAAGCCTCTTCCCAAGCCTGACTGTGATATTCTGGAGTATACTGATCCAAGCAGCAAACACAGAAACTTTACTTCTAAAAACCCAGAAGATTCTGCTTGTATTAAACATCCCTCTATATGGACAGATGGCAGCAGTCTCCAGGAAGCGGTCAAACTGATCCAGGGCTCATGATGATAAGGACAAGTTTCTTCAGACCTCATTGAGACCGAGAAAAGATTAATAGTTCATGCTGGTTTTATCTCAAAAGTTTCAAGAAGTCCCTGGCACTGATCAGGTTCACTAGGCCCCTTCTGTCCCCACAAATATATGAGCAGTGAGGACAGCTAAGACTCTGAGACTGGCTGAGGCACCTGGAGGAGACACCTTCCAACTTGTCAAACTCCCCACAAATTGTGCAATGAGCTCCGTATTTGGTCACTCAGGCTTGGGGAACCTTTGGTGATGAGGCTGCCTCAGAAGTAATTCCTCACCCATACCTCTGTAATTAACCCAATAAGACTGTGGTTCACAAAAGGAGGAGGAGGAAGGTGGGAGGAAGACTGGTTTGGGGATGTAGAGTTGGCTCAGTGGTTAAGAGCACTTGTTGCTCTTGCAGAGGACCTGGGTTTGATTTCCAAATTTACGTCATTGTTCACAGTCATCTGTAATTCCAGTCCCAGAGGATCTGATGCCCTCTGCTGGCTTCCATGGGCAGCAGGCTTACAAGTGATACACACACCTACACGAGTGTGTATATGTATGTGTGTGTGTATGTGTGTGTGTATGTGTGTGTGTATGCAAAAACACTCATACACAATAAAACAAATAAATCTAAAAACTCATTGGTTTTTATGTCATTGCTTCTTAACCCAAAACAACATCTAACTTGTTGTCTGAATGTTTTTGATTCCTCCTTTAATGTCAGTGTGACAATGTCAAGTTTCTGTTACTTTCTGTGTTTATAAATGTGTGGCTACATGTAAGTGTGTGAATAAAAACAGTGCGTTAATGTCGCCTATCCTTGTCTGTGCCTATTTGCTTCCCTACCAATTTTCACCGTGTAACATCGTGAGTATTTCACCTGGTTGTATGTTCCTTGTCTTTCTCTCCCTTCTGCTCTGAAGCTCTGTATCTCACAGTCTCTTGTTCTTTGCTCCTTAGATACTTTTTGCTGAAGGAGTGGTGTGACGGCAGAAAGATTGTTCACACAACACTACTCATTCTGACGGGGTGCTGTCACTGAAGCTAATTGGAAAGAGGTGGCCTGCAGGTTTCCTGTCAAGGCCTGCCAACACCAGCACTTTGGAAAGCTGGGTGACGGCGTGGCTACTGGGAAGGATGTGAGAGAAGCCTGAAGGGTCACGCCTGGCAGCATCCTAGTAAGTAGGATTGGAAGGACTAGGAAGGAAGAGGGTCTCACCTGTCTTCTGTCCCCGCATCTGTGCAGGAGCCAGGCAGTCTTCAGTTTTCACAAGAAGTGGCTGAATGTACTTGGATGACAAGTAGCCCTTCTTCACAGCATGGGAAATCAGGCCCTTCATGGCTGACAGAGCTACAGGGCTGGGACTGCGTCCTGGAAGACAGTGATTCAGAGGAATCCCAGTCTGGCCTAGTGTTGGAGACCAGTGGGAAGAAGCTGAGGTGCCCTGACAAACCCTCACAGCTGCTGCAGGAAACCGTGGGACGGCTCATCCCTCGAGTCAGAGAGGCGAGGATCAAGGACCTGGTATAGCAGGGCTCTGAGTGGCTCAGGCTGAAGTCCTCCTCAAAGATGTACAAGACTCCACATCTCCACAGCCTCCGTCCACGGGATGGCTGTGGGGAGCCGGGCTCAGCGAGCCCTACCTGCTCACATCAGCGTTTCCCATCATTTTTCTCAGCACAGAGCTCTGAATCAGGCACTGTCAGCAACTCCCTTGGTAATGAAGAACTTGAGATCTAAACAGTATGTGCTTCCGATCCCAAACCAACAAATAAATCTAAAAAATCAAGCAGGCATTCTGGACCCAGTACGCTGCTGGAATCACCCTCACTGGAAGTGGAAAATGCAGGCTCATGTTTTGACTCTTTCCCTTGGGTTATTTGCTTCTCTGAAATGCATGCGGTAGCAATAGGAATGATGGAATCTCCCTGGACTATCCCAAAAGGCATAGAAAACGAGAAACTAACTATACAAGATGTGTTAACAGAAATCAGCTCACAAACTCACAGGCACAGTCCCAGGACTGTGTTTGGATGTGGGGGTCAGGAGTCTGGAATCAACAGACTTGCAAGAAAATGGAAGGCTGCCATTAGAAGCTGTGTGTTCCAGGAGCTGCCCAACACAAAACAAATTCCATGGGTGCCCCCTGTTTTGAAATTTTGCTTCATTTTGTTTGCTTGTATTTCTTTCTTTCTTTTATTTTGAGAGAGAATGTGAAGTTGGGTGGGTAGGGAAGGGGAGGTATGTGGGAGGAGTTGGGGGAGGGGAAAATGTATTACATCAAAATGTATTACATGAAAAATTAATAAAATTAACTGTCAGCTTGAGCAGATCTGGGAGACAAGGCTATGGATGTATTTCCTGAATGGGCGCATTGAGGTAGTGAGAGACCAAAAGATTAAAAAAATCATTGGCTGATATTTTAAAGTTTAAATCCTGAATGAAGGCTAGCTAGGTAAAGACATTTCCAGTAATGCCCTGTATTCTCTTCCTGCCTATTAGAGATACAGTTGCTAGGAAACTGGCCCATCCCCCTAGGGAGGGACACCAGATCATTAATGGTTTGGGGACCTTCCTATAGCCAATCAACTCAAAATGCAACATCCCTTTTGCCTTTCGACCAATAGATGCTTGCCAGGCAGGAATCACCCCTGCTTTGGGCATGCTGGGAGGGTCTGGAATCTTTAAATCACCCAACTAACCTGAGCACGAGGCTCTCAGCTCTCACCGCTTTGGCGGTGGGGGTGTGAGCCCAAGCTGCAGCTTGTAATAATTTGTAATTTAAAAACCTCATGTATTTACAGAGAAGTCTATTTATTCCTGGTCTTTTGGGGTTCGCAAACTGGGCACAACATTTTATGACCTAAGTTCAGACAGCACCCTTCCATGGGACGGCACACGGGACTGAACACAGGAGAGAATGAGGTGAGCACCAACAACATCCTCCTGTTGCTAATTGCGGATGCACTTCGTGCCCAGACATGATGACTCCCCCATTGTGATGGGTTAAGCGGCATCAAGGTGGTTTAAAAAAATAGATAGAAAATCTGGAGTGAGAGACAGACAGAGGGCCACTGGCCTGCAGCCACAGACCTGAAGGAAAGGTATGAAAGCCCCTACCACAAAGATCTCACACACAGAGCACAGATCGACCTGAATAACAGCAGAGCAAAGGGACCCCACGGATAGAAGCAAAGAGCAGGAGGGACTCACCTAGAGAAGCCTGGGAATTTGAGGGAGAAGTGTGGCAGAATCAGAGAAGGAAGCCAGAGCAGAAGGAAGCGCATCACGTTGTGTGTTTGGGAAACCGAGGCAGCAGAAAATGTCAGGAGAAACTGGCTTTCCAGAGATGCCTGAAAGGGCAGCAGAGCATCAGGGCTAAGCAGCAGAGCACTCTCGGCTGAGGCGCCATTACCGTCCTGGGTGCCGAAGAAGGCAACGCCTAAGGAGATGTTGTTGTAGCCCTGGCCGTGTGAGCCTTGGACATTCCAGCCAACACCTTCATATACTCTGCCATCATCCCCAACCAGGAAACTGTGGGCAAGGAAACACAAGTTACTGGCACTGACACACATTCCTGAGAGAGGAAACCACCTACCCAGGCTCAGAAGGGAGCAGAGCTCAGGGCAGGTTTACAAAAAAGTGTCTGCATGGATTTCTCTGAGACAATAGAAAGACCAAGTCATGTATCCTCATTCTTAACATTGAAAATGACTACACACACACACAGCCTTTGACTCCCTCCCTATACCCAAGTTATGTATAAATCATCCTAAATACTGAGAAGGAAGAGGGGACCTTGGTCATACAGAAACTACAGTTGACCTAGTCACACAATATTAGTCTCCATGGATTTCATACATCTTAAAGATGGCTCTGCTACCTCCCACAGAAGGCATACTACCCAAATGATCTCCACACCGGCTACACATGTGTTTCCTCCCAGGTAGGGGACTTCCTACGTAAACGCACCAGTGAGTCACAGACATAGTAGCAGGCAATGAGTTTGAGGAGTGATTCCAGAGACCAGAAAGATGGAGCAACGAGAAAAAGACTAGAGAAAGAAAGAAAGTCATCAGCAGATGCCCTGAAGCAGCTTGAGAGCAGACACCTGGCACTGCCCCCTGAGTGCCACTCCCACCCACCGTGTCCTTCTGAAGAACTGTGTATATACACTTTAGAACCGTCCTACAGAAGGGTTGGGCTGATGAAGTTACCCACTGATCTCTGTCTCCAAGGGGCCATTAACTCCCCTAAACCATAGAGGACTTCAAGAGAGCCTGGTGTGGGAGCCAGACATACTGTGGGCACTTCCAGAAGCCATTCCAAGCCCCAGACTGCTGACATCTGGCAAAGTCAGGCAGGATCCTCCAAGACTGGCTGCCAGGGTCACAGGTGGGGCGCTTACCCCAGCAAGACAAGAGCCCGTACCCGTGGCTTGGTGAGAATGCCTCTGACAGGTTGAGCTAGTTTAAGATCGATGACTGCACCTTGGGAAAATGGAGATTCCTGCTCTGCCTCCTCAGACTGGTGGATGACTAAGGCACTAAGGTATAAGGAAGAATTCTGCAAACCATGATGTGTCAGGCAAAGCAAGGTTCTCCAGAAGCGTTCAAAGGAGCAGTTAGGTCCTGGGTTTGTTTTTGATTCTGCATCTCAGAGGCAGGAGCTTCACAGAGAATAATGTCAGAATTTCATGAAGATCTTTTTCACTACTGTATTCGTTGTGAAAACATATAGAAACACAGCCAACAAGCAAGGAAGATGGGTGAAAAAGACTCTAAGAACCTTAAGAGAGCAGCTCTGACCACGTGCCTGGAGGTCCAGGCCCAGCCACTTACTTGTAGGCCACATCACACCAGCGGTTGCGGATATGATGGGCCTGTAGTTCCCGAAGCTGCTGAACACAGACAGTCTGGTTGTGGCATTCTAGCCCAGGGACATGGTGTATGACAAGGACATCCACGGGCCTCCTCAGCTTAGAGCTGCAGCCAGCTGCTTCTGCCCCCCATTCCTCACGGGAGACCATGATGAAGACATCTGTGTGGAGAAGGTGACACCTCAGCTACCGCACCTGCATTTGCTTAGGGAGATGCGCGTCTGGTCTGCCCCCTGCTGGTAAAAAAATGCCCCAGGAGAGGTATGAGCAGGTGGCCATCCCTCCCCACCCACTGTCACGTGCACCTTGCAGGCTGTCAGCCCCAACACAGCTGAACTGGCCAGGAGGTCGAGATATTTTGCTTTCCCTCTCAGAAAGCCACACCATAAATGCACCCCCATTGGGAAGTACGCCCATGCCATCCACTCGTCCCCCGCCCAGCCCTCCTGGCCGCACTGTGCCCTCGCTGGCAACTTCCTCTCTGGCTCCCACTCTCTTCAGGGGTCACATCTCCTCCGCCTAGGCTCTTCTTCTGCCCTTCACTCTCTGGCCTGCTGGACTCAGGGACCGATTCTCTCCCCTGCAAAAGTAGTTTCTCCCCTTTTGATATCACCCCTATACCCCCAAAGCATTAAAAAATTCACTTAAGCCACTGGCCAGAGCCCCTCTACCACTCTGCTCTTCACCCTGTCCCAGCAGGCTGTACAGACCTCCATACACTTCCAGCCACACTGTAAGCCCAGCAGCCCCTAAGCCTCCTCACCATCACGGCCCATTCTGCCCTTCTCAGCCAGCTGGGAGAAGCTGCCCGACAGCCGCTGCAGCCCTTCTGACACCTGTTTGATTTGTGGGTTTTCCCAGGAGGAAACACCTGCAAAAGAATGTTCCTGTTTTCATCTGTCTTCAAAGAGTTCCAGAGCCCTTTGATAATAAGGAGCTAGCAGAGCTCTAGCCAGAAACAGCTGCCCCCTCCATTACCCTTCTGCTGCCCTAAGTCCCCAAGCCTCCTCCAAGAAGCCCCTGTGGGTTGACCAGGAAACCACCGCTAACAGATAGAGGCATGGCTTTCTCTAGTACTGCCTTTGGGTAATCCTCCAGGGTGATAGTTCATGGGTACAGGGAGTTAGACATATTGAACAATTATGAACTATATATAAACATACAATTGGCACAAACAACCTGGAGATATGTCCAGGCACCTGAAAACCACAGTGTTGTCTTCTGTATACATTTTTGTGTATCCAGTGCAATAAGAAGGAATAGTTAGAATTGCCTTTCATGAATCAGGCCAGTTCCTGCTCAGTGCTCAGGCACTGGTCAAGCCCATACTCCTACCTGAAGGACTGTGAGGGTGTGCAGGCACTGGCTACGTTATTGCTCCAAAGGGGCATCATTTGTCGACGAGCACAAATCTAGTTAGTTTATATGCTGACGGCATGATATTGACACAGATACAATCATTGCTTCCATCCACGGTTCTGACTGCTAGGTGCTAAGTCAGCTGTGCGCGTTTCTTCACTTAACCCTCAAATTTAAGAGGGGAGCAGCTTCTTCTCAGTCTTCAGATGGAGAACTTAAGATTTAGAGAACTTAACCACTTATTGAAAACTATTACTTGTGGTAAGGCAAAGTGTCGGCCTCAGATCTATAGGCGCCATAAAACTCTTCTTACATGCTGGGGAAGAGAGAGAAAACTTACCCCATGCCAGAAGAACCAAGGTAGAGGAGACAAGAAGCCAGGGCAACATCCTCAGCTGGTCCCAGGATTCCCACAGAGTATAAGCAGCCCTAGGAGAGACATCGACAGTTACCATGCCTGGGCCAGCTGTCCACGACACGGTGCCTGACCGTGTGGAACCCTGTCTACTGCTGCCTTGCTCTGGGTCCCCTGAAGGCCAGCACCTGGCCAAGGCTCCTCTGGGCTCCCTGTACACAGCTGGTGTACAACATTCTATTACAGATACTAGCAACTCTATTTAACTGATTCCTACTCTGTGTGTATGTGTGTGTGTTCATGTAGATACTTGAACAGTAAGTCTTAAACCATCCTCACCCAAATTCTGTACATACAGAAACTAAACCTAAGAATGGTCCAACTGAAAAATCCATGCTCACAAGGAAGGGTCTAATGAGGACATCCCTTCCCTAGGAATAAGACAAGGTGAGGTAAGCAGGGTGTAGGAGTTGGGAGACACCAGATCTAGTTCTGGTGTGGAGGAAACCTGGATGTAAGATTGGTTTGGTAGTATAGTCCCTTCTGGAGATGTTTCGTAAAGATCACAAACCGAAACAGCTGAAACTGGGGAATGGCTCAGTTGCTGAAGTGTTTGCCATTCAAGAACAATGGAATCCTAAATCTCCAACAGCCATGCAAGAAAAAAAAAAAAAGTTGAGTGTGCGTGTGGCTGTGCAAGTAATTCCAGCACTAGGAGGTGGGGACAGGCAGGTCCCTGGAGTTCACTCTTCAGCCGGCTTTGCCAAACCCATGCTCAGATACCGAGAGACACTGTCTCATGAAATAAAAAGCCAGACGTGGACCTCTGGCTTCCATATGCATACACATGTGCACATGCCACAGAGAGGGGGGAGGGGAGCAGAAAGGGGAGGGGCGAAGAGAAGGATGGGGGACACTAACAGAGACTACAGACACACCATTATGTCCTCACACAAAACAAACAAAATAGAGTCACCTGGAAACCCTGTTCTAGTCCAGGCCAGCAAGTCAGAGTGCAGCCGGCTCACCACTCATTTTCTGGCATTTCCTGCCTTCAGCCTTGGTTTCCAGGCCTGGTACCTCCTCTGGCATATGTCTCTTCCTGCTCTCCCTGGCTCTAGAGAGCACTCTCTCTCTCTCGGAGTGGAGCACTCAGGTTCCAGCTTTCTCAAAAGAGGAAGTGAGGGCTCCCAAAAAAGATGGAGGACAGAGCTCTAAGACTCCGACTCAGCTCAGTTCAGAGCACTGAAAGGCACTCAGGTGAGGCAGATTGAGAGCACAGCGACACACCCTGTGAATAAGCCTGGGTTTCTCCTCCCTGGGAAAGGACCCAATTGCCACATCCTCCCTGATCTCCTTCTTCGGCTCAGCCCTGCCGACCTGGGGCCAGAAGGCCTGGTGGCTGTGATTCTGACATCGGTAAACTTCTTGCCAACAGCAATCTGCTCCTCCAACCTGAAGGCCATAGATTAAGGTCATTTACCAGTTATTACTGCAAACCTTTTCTACCAAGGTTGCCAACAGAGGCAGAATGGAAGGAAAGACATAGAGAGCCATGTTCCCATGTGCCTGAGCCTGTAGCCTCTGCTTGTGTCAGCCACCCTCCTGCTGCACCCACCTTCCGAATCATCACACTATGACCGTGAGAGGAAGCAGACTCCACCCACTTCTCAGGGCCTAGTGATGTCATCCCGACCAGTCCTCCTCTTCCTGCACCCTACACGGGAGGCCCTCCCATGATGGCAATGATGGGCCCTCCCCCTCCTAGGATGATGCCTGTGGGGCCTGCTCCTGGACTGAGGCCGCCCATGGGAGGTCACATGCCCACAATGCCAGGGCCTCTGCTCACCCCGTGAGCACGGTGCCCACTCGGCCTGGCATGACTAGGCCAGACAGAGAAGAACAGAAGGTCTCTTTACCAGTTTTGTATTTCTTATTCTGTTTCTCCAGGAGATCACCATGCTGAGCCTGCCTGTTTTCTAGCTGCATGACAAGAGAACTCCCCCTTCCTAAAAGAATAGTGTTGGAGGGGGAAAGTGGTATTTTTAAAAAGCACAGTTTTCACCTACATTGTGAAATGTGAAAATAAAATGTTAGCTCTGTCTGTTAAAAAAAAAAAAAAAAAAAAAAGACTGGGGGAGTAATCCATGGGTTAACTCTTGGCTCCCTGTAAACTGATAAAGAGACAGGAGAAACTATTGTCCTAGTGAGGTAGCATTCTGTTCTTTCCTGCAGTATCCATGCCTAGCGCGGTTCCTTAGAAGCTGCCGTCAGGTTCTGTTGCTTTTGCCTTCAGGACTCAGAAAGGCATAACATTCCCTTTCTCTTCTTCGTTGTCTCTTTTATTAAGATGGTGGCCAAATCCTAAGTATGCTTTATGGTACTGTGGGCTTTTCCCCTCTTTCTCTAATGCTCTCCTCTCTGCCATGGAGCTGCTTGTCCTCCATATGGCTGGGCTCCGCGGTGGGTTAGCTCAAGCCGCATGGGTTTTTCTCTCCACTTGCTCTTCTTCCTCCAGACAGCTGCCAAGATTTACAGCTTATCTGCCCTGGGACTCTTCTTTCAAACTCTAATAAAATTGTTCTTGGACTCTCTGTTGAATCCATTCTAAAATTGTGATTTTAATGAGACTTAAACAAATCACAAAAGAGGACCCCAATTTTCCTAGTAACAAAAGAGTTCCTCAAGTATGCAGCAGGTTCTCTCACTGTTTTCCCTAGGCGTGCATCTAGGCCCGGGATGGAGCAGAGCCACTGAGCTCAGCCAGGAACAGGGGAAAATGTTTCTGAGCCTGAGACTAAGGCAGTGGAGCTCAAGAATTCCAGCATGGTGGTGCTGTGACCCCGGAAACACTTGGTTTTACAGTGTCCCGACATGTGTGTCCTGACCAGCAATATAAGCCTTACAGAAGTAAAGCCTGGCAGCAGGCTTTCAGAAGCACCCAGAGTGGAGCTGAAGAGGTTCCTTTAGCAGAAAACCAAGGGGGAGAAAGCCCAAGAAGAGACAAAGCAACGGCTGCCTAAAAGAGTCAGGAAATGCTCTGGCCCATCCAGATACCCACAAATACCTAAGGCCTAATACGGTGAAGATGCCCTCAAAACAAAACAAAACAAAACAAAACAAAACAAAACAAAACAAAACAAAACTCCTCTATGAGTATATCAGGAGGGAGGAAGAAGGTGGCCAGGATTGACTGTGGGTTTACAAATTTAGGATGAAAATCTTGCTAGGTGGGGCTTTCTATCTCCTGAATGACTGAGTCTTCATCGACTCCCCTAATCCTCATCTCTGCCATCTCTACCCGAGGGGCTCCCACAAAACTGCCTTCCCCCATCACCATAGGATGTTTCCAATGTCCCTAAGAGTCTCTACCTCAGCCTAGCTTCTTCCCAGAGACCTACACAAGTACTGGTGGGACCCGGGAGAACCCACCTTCTTCAGGGAGGTCATGATACATTGTAATGAAAATCTCGTGAAGACAGTCTGCTTCTGTCCAGCCCTAGCACAGCAGAGCAAGCCTTTCAAAAGTGTGAAGAGAAGTTCAGGAAAGAAAGGTAAGCAGGCAGACACCAAGCATGCTTCAGGTAACATGGCCTAAGGTAGTTCTCCCTCACAGATCATCCCAGAAGAATGTAAAGGACCTCCAAATCTATTCAGGGGTCAAACCTTAGCCCCACTCAGCAGGAGGCCCTGCCTCACAAACCAGTGATTCCAAGTCCCTCACCTCCCTAGCTAATACTGTCCCTGAAGATAAGAAAGCATGTCAAGTGGGTGGTTCCAGGTTTGGTACAGCAGGAAGGAGGCAGCTGCTGGTCAGGGGTATGCCCGGAATTCCCTCCAAAGTCTCTTTATGCTAAGAATGTTCTTGAGACAATTACTTGTTGTAGTAACCTTCGATTCTGGTTCTTGAAAGAAAAGGCCCTTCTATGGTCAATCTATGAGCTGAACCAATCACATTCTTCACTGAACTGTTTTCTTCTCAAGAGAACAGAAAACAGGCAAATTACATAGACCCTCATACATGATGCCATGACATACATTTTTTTTGAAAATGAACAATGTGAGCTTTTCATTTCAAGGAAAACAGCTTATGGAATCAGTTAAGATAATAAAATTGAATCTTCCAAGGAAAACCTAGCATTTGAGGTAAGTAACATGGTAACAGTCATACTTGCAGCCATGATCTGACGTTTTTCCAATAGGTACACTTATTAATACTATCAGTAGTGGTGTTTCAAATGTTTTATAGGCACACATCTGTAAACACACACATATAAACATGTCATAGACTGTATAATGAAACAGTAGACCAATATTTTCCAAATGGTTAATATAAGATGTTGCAAAATCACAACTGAATAAAAAACTCATTCAAGTTTTAAGATGGAGTCCTTGATTCTAATGAAACTATGTGCAAAGAATTCATTCATGTGGTTTCAGATTCCAAAAAGTGACTACTTAGTTGTTTTGGTGTAGTATAAAAGAATAATATTTATAACTATATTTAAAGTTAATAGTGTGTTCCTCTACTTTCCAAATACTCATCTGAGAAGATGGATTTTATTCCCATCTTCAACTCAGAATATAGCAATATATTGAATGTAGAAATAGGAATGAAGCCACAGCTTTCTCCCTTTGAGAAGTACAGTAAAGAGGCTTGCAAACATTGTTTTAAAGACATTTTGCAATAGCTTTGTAAAATAAGTAGTTATTTTAATAGGTTAGTATTAATGGGTTTTTAATGATACCTTAAATAAGCTGATAAGCAATTTGTTTTTTTTTAATTTCTAATAAAATAAGTATATAGAAATAATACCCCATAAAAGCCCTTTGGGATACTATAGTCTCAAATATCCTGTGCTCAAAAGCTGCTGGTGGTGACCAGTATTGATGACTGCTTCACATCATTCAGGAACTGCACTGCCATGCCACCCTGGGCAACCTTGCAAGGCCACCTTCGATGCCATCTCTAAGACCTACAGCTTCCTAACCCCCGACCTCTGGAAAGAGACTGTGTTTACCAAGTCTGTTTAT